AATATACACACACACATGAATGATTCCTGCTTGGCAGATCGGCTGCAGCTAATTTTTCCTGTGCGTTATTTCCTAAGTTGCTCAGGATATCACCCTTATTCTGTGGACTTTTACTTTTTGTCTTTAGCTGATTATCTGGAAAAAGAAAAGGGGAAGAGAATATTGCAAAGAACGTTCACCAAACAGAGAGATTTTCGAAAAGAAAGAAACGAGCAAATTGACTTTGCATGAGACCTTGTTTCCTAGTACCCAACTCCGAATCTTCTGCTGATGCATGGCAGGGATTCATACTCGGATCTGTATGTACTTCAGGGATTTCCAGCATGCGCCGCTGATATTCCTCAGGTGACTTCAGAAGCTCTAGCTTTTCAACGCATTCCCTAAGCGTGAATGACAGCTAAGGAATAGCTCATAAATATTCAACTGTTGAGATTTCCATGCAATCACTTTCAAAACTAGCTTCATGTCATAAAAGGAAAGAACCAGATTACATATCTACATTGTGTATGGAACGTTCGATTGGTACTTAAGCTTCTATGCCCAAATATTTTGAGCAACACAGACATCTCTCTAAGGAATGGTTTCATGAGCAACCTGTTCAGAGATTCAACAATAAACAATATTTGAAATTCAATCAAGCATAGCAACATGAAGTCAAAAAAGGATATTCCTTTCTATGTCCATTCTCGCTCGCCCGGTCACGGAGATAATTCAGCTTTAATATCTCGGCTTCTAGTGCCTGCATTGGTAAATCATGGCAGAGCATGATAGAGGTAACCGTCCAAGGAGCTCTTATACACATGGGAATGATATCAGCTTTCATAATTATGGAATAAGATCCTACCTCATTGGCTCTCATGGTTTGAAGTGTCGCTGCCTTCTCCAAGATTTCACCCTAATAACAGAAAAACAACTGCTTCAAACTTCCAAGTACAATCTGCGAGGTCAGGAGAGGAACAGAAATGACACGCGTTCTTACCACAGTTAACTGTTTATTTAGGCCACATTTTATGCTCTGACGCAACCGTTTGCATTCATCCTGAAAAACATAGTAATAAAATACATTAAAGATCGATAAGAAGATCATTATGAGCCATTCTTATGTTACCACATTAGCAGATGGGCTTTCAATGGTAAATGATATTATAATCACCTCGGTGACATCCTGATTTGATAATTGATCAATCGATATGACTTCTCTCTTGTCTAAATTCAGAATTCCCAGCATAACGTCCGTAGTTCTTTTACCAATTTGGTAGGATTCTGTCACCTTGCTTGTACCTGTCAATAAACTACAGTAAGCTAGAAATCATGTAATGTACACTTTTAGGATGGCGATTGAATTTCCATTTTCTTTTCGTTCTTCCTTGAAAGAGCACCAACGTGGTCACTGATCAAATACCTACAACTTGGACGAGCCTGTGAATGTCCAGCTTCTGATCGCTACCAGAAACCCTAATTCTCACAATTGTTCCCACCACCTTCTCATGAACTTTGCTGATGTCATCAAGTAGAATCTCTAAAAACTTGCGCCTCAAATAGATCAAGTGGATATTGTGAACATCAATGGCGGCATATTCGTCCTTATTTGCATTCCGTACTCCATCGTCGACTTTTTTACATGTCTTCCGCCTCCGATCAATTCCCATCGTTTCCTGAACGCTATCCTTTGCCATTGTGAGAGGAACAACGTGAGTAGCTTCACCATTCATGGTTTTTGCATTTGACGAATTCTCTTGTATAAGAAAATGAGACTCAAGAAGTTTTAGCATTTCAAAATGACCCACTCGTTGTTTACCAAACAGTCTCACGAGCATCAAATCACAGCGAACGTGAGATTTCTGACGAGGATCCCGGAGGTTTTTACTCTTTATATAGTCAAGCAGAAGACCCTGCACATCAAACTGAGAAAGCACCGATGTATCGCCGTTCTTCATATATGCCACAAACTCTAAAAGTTCTTTTGTCGCCCAGTTTGAGCCTCCAGGAAGCTTATCTTGGTCTCTAGCATTCATCTTGTTGAGCAAGTTAGGTGGATCACTAGTCCTTCTCCTTTTGGTTCCATTCACGGCTACATCTACGCAGTTATGGTCTGAAGAATAAGCTCTATTATAGCTATGGTCACGAAGCTCATTTTGTAACTCCCTCTTTGGAGCAACGCAAGATACCTCCTTGCAAGGGTTTGTGGCTTTGGTAAGCTCGTCAAGTGTTAGAGACAGCTTTTGCTTCAAGCAAAGCCAATATACCTTGAATAGATACTCCCAACTAGTCTTGTCATCAAAATCCACTTTAACCTACACATGCAAAACATAAACAAATAATAATTATAATTATGAAAGCACCTTCGTTAAAATTAACTGAGATGTTGCCCAATAAACATTGCATGTGCATGGAACCAGCGGGAGAGAGAACCCTAATTTCACAGGACACGACTAAGCATAGAAGATGCGAAAGCGAAACTCAATCCTGACCAACTAACTGTATTCTTCTTCATAGCTTTTGCAAGTTGGTCTAGATCCAATCCAATATAAAAAGTTCTGTGACTACAGATGATCCTAACATTAAATACCAAAAAGATAAGATTCTGGTTGAATTGTCTTACCGTTTCATTCTCGCCTTGAGCAACATTCTCAATCAGCATTATGATCTTCATGCATATCGCACACAGGCCCATGTTTCCTCTCACACTCACACAGTCGGCATCTCTCATGCATCGCTTGCAAACAGAATATGTACATGTATAACACATATAACTCGAAGCCTTCTGACATGTACTGCATATGTGCCAACCTAAAATGCGAGAATTAAGTCAATCTAAGATCAATACTTTTCAGACGTGCACATTATCACAAGACTGTTATGAAATGGCAAGATCTCAAACTAAGCATTCATAAGACTGCCAATAGTAAAGACACAGCGAGCAACATAATAGGCTGGCACAAACCGCAGTTCCATTTTGCCTTTGTTTGAAAGAATGCTTCGTCGCGCTTAATGCAAGCTGGATGGTATGCCTTAGGGCAGTTCCTGCAAAGGAACAAAACAAACCATCAAAACTTATAGATGACACAGATCTCTCTTGTAAAAGCTCACGTCAATAACCAATGATTAATAAACCACCCTTTCACATCTGAAGTAAATGAACAGCTCTAGTCTATGGCATTTATCTACATCGAATCAGCAATCAAAGTTGGTTTGAGACACAAAAACACGACCATGAACAGAAAACAGAGATAGGTTCAGCGAGTTGTAAATGCCTCGGTACAGTTGAACAAAGATTAACTACTAAGGAGGCGGACCAAAAGATTAAGATTGAACATCACATGTTAGACAACCTAAGCATTACTATGATGGACCCCTACTGAAAACACACACACGGTTTCGATTTCCCCTCTCTAGTTTACTATCCAAGCCATTGCTCTACGAAGCCGGAACTGCAACCAGGCTTGAGCTCAACCTTACCGCCGACTTATTGAGCTCTACTTCGTTGTTACCCCTACTAAACCACAGCGAAGGCTCTATTCTCTCTCCCTACACATTCGTTTCAATCAAACTCTCGTGGTAAGCCGACATTCACCCACCGGCGATCGCAGAGAACAAGGTCCCCGCCGTCGAAGCATATGAAGCAGATATCCTCTTCCTCGTCCTCCATTCTCCGTGGCGGCGGCGGCGGCGGTGGCCGAGGCTGCGGCGGCATCTTAGCCTGCCCTTTCGGAGGCCGACCCCGCCTCCGCTTTACAGAGGCAACTCCATCGACAACTCTAGGCTCTTGCTCCACAGACACATCCACCAATCCACCGACCACAGCCACCGTCGGAGGAGCTCCGGCGAGCGAAGGAACTCCAGTATCACCGATCTCCTCGCATTGATCAACTCTCATGAGATCGATTCCCTTGACAGAGGTCGGATCGCGACGGGGGAGAGCAGGTTGCTCCGGCTCGCCCTGCCGGAGCTGCTGCTGGTGATTGTCCATGAGATCGGCGAGTAATTGATGCGGGAGAGCAAGTGGTGAGATGAATCAGTGAGAGAGAGAACCTAATCTTTAGGGATTTGGAGCCAAGGATGATGAAGATGGTGTAGTGCTGCCTGAAGGGAAGACCCGTGGGGGCACATGGAGAATGGATTCAGGCTGAGCGGATGGGACAATCCATTCGTAATGCTTAGGTGCCTTCGCTTTTCCTCTTCACCGTTTTCCCCCTTATTTAAAAGCCAATTTATAAAAGATTGCTAAGTGTTTTTGTTTTAGTAAAGTAACAAATCATCGTGCGTGCATTTCAAATTAATTCCGAGAATCTAACGTTAAATTCGCTCAGTTAAAGAAGTGGCGAAATATTCACATATCAAACCATGTTTTCATATTCTTACGATGGATGGATGGATATAGTATTAAATATTGTACGACCGATTAATTGTATTTGTGCTTCTGCTTAGTTATTACTATCCTCAATTCAAATGAATATATTATATTTTTCGGGTTTTCCACTATCATTGTTACATTTCTAAAATATTGAAACATTTCAAATCATAATTTTCGTATCGATGATCAATGAAATAATTAGTTAATAAGATTTTATATGTAGTGTATGTATATATATAAAGGAAGGGAGATATATGTGGTTTAAATAATTTATTGATATTATATATATATATTTTTACAACTATTTGATCGTCACGGGGGGGGAGGGGGGTCGGGGTCAAAACGAGGCTAATGAGTGTCGTTTCAAAATGAAACACACAAACACCTGTCGATCTTTGGGAAGGCCCGGTGAGTGCCGCGTGTTGTTGACCGGAGATAGAGATTTGGTTCATATCTGCGTGGTGGTCCAAATCTCCAAATTAAATTTGTCATAAAAGATCATATGGTATAATATCATCTCCCAATATTTAAGATTAACCTCTTCCAAGCCTCCACTCATTCAAAAACCCAAAAATTCTCGATCAAAACAGAAACATGCCTTTCCTGGCAGATGCGTACAAGAAGCAGCAACATCCTTATGAAATTCAATTCATATTTTTCGTCATTGTTTGTATAAAATTATACAAACGAGACAAATAAAATAATGCGCACGTGAATATACACACACACATGAATGATCGACATATGTAGACGGAATATTTTTGGGAAGGAAAACGTAAAAAAAAAGAAAGCAGTTTTACCAAATATAAACCCGGGAGACGTGATTAGAAGAAGCGGCCTTTACGGGCCGACGGAGGAAGGTGGGGCCCAACTTTTAACATAACGGCAGGGTCAGCAGCCCAAAAGCCCGACCCTTAAAGCTAAGGGATCAAATTTATTCGTCTTACCGTGCAATTTCCTCGCCCGTGTGACCGAGATCTGGTTAACCGACGATGCACAGACCAAGACGACGATTGGTGGGTGGCACCGTGTCCGATATCCGGCCCGGCGTCGGCGTCAATCGATATGGAATTCCCGCTACTCTTCCCTTGTAATCGGTTGTTGCTGGTTTTGTTCGTGGATTTTGAAGTTGAGGAAGAGATTGTAATGTCTACTCTAGGCGTCCGTTGGAGTTGAATGATCGCAATCGATTCCCTACCTCCGATAAGGAAGATGTTGGATAGACGAGAAGGACGATGTTGTGGAGAAATCTCGGGGTCGTTTTGTAAATTCAGCATATATTGTACGTAATTCTGTTGTTTTAGGTGTGCCGATTTGTGAAGCATCTGTGCTCAGATAGGAGTTTATATCTTCTTTGGGAGGGGATCACGGAATCTGCAGACTCTGGTGGGACATTAGAAAAGAAGTAAAAAAGAACCGTATCGTTGCATCTAAGTCCAAATTATTCGATGCATCGAACAGCAGCAGCTCCTCATCATGTGTCGGAAGGTGTTTGTGGCCGCACTCTCCTCTGTTTCGGACTAGGATGAGAGTGAAATCAGGAACCCCTTTGGCTGTCTAGTACTAGTGAGTAGTGGCACCATTTACATTGGTTTCTGGGAACTTTCTCTTTGTTAAAGTTTGTAGGCGGCGAAATGCATACAAAATCAGGGCCAGCTGAACAATTCAACAACATTCGGATGGGGAGATCAAAACAACAAGGGAACCAAAAAAAAAAAAACACATTTCAATTAAATAAATATCACCAGATAAAATATGATTACCCACTCCTCCTCTTCTTCTTCTTTTTGTTTTTTTGATCGAGGAGGATCAAGGTTGCTGCTGAGGATCCATGTAACCAGCATCCACTAGCACTTTCTCCCTCTTGGCGAGCTCTAGGTCTTCGTCGACCATCATCTTCACCAGCTGCTCGAACCCTACTCTCGGCTTCCACCCCAGCTCCTCCTTTGCCTTGCTCGCATCTCCTTTCAGGTTGTCCACTTCCGCCGGCCTGAAGTACCTCTTGTCTATCTCCACGTGGTCTTTCCAGTTCAGCCCTACGTAGCCGAACGCCACCTCTAGGAATTCCTCCACTGTGTGCGACTCCTCTGTTGCCACCACGTAATCCTTCGGCGTCTCCTGCTGCAGCATCAACCACATTGCCTCCACGTAGTCCCCTGCGAATCCCCAGTCTCTCGACGCCTGGAGATTTCCCAGGAAGACCTTCCTCTGCAATCCTACCTTTATCCGTCCCACGGCCCGAGTTATTTTACGGGTCACGAAGTTCTCGCCCCGACGCGGTGACTCATGGTTGAACAGAATACCGTTGCAGGCGAATAGACCGTAGGCTTCTCGATAATTGACGGTGTACCAGTGGGCCGCGCACTTGGACGCCGCGTAGGGAGATCTCGGATGAAATGGTGTCGTCTCGGACTGCGGAGGCGGAGTGGATCCGAACATCTCCGAGGATCCAGCCTGGTAGTATTTGATGGTCCGGCCGGTGGCGGAGATGTGAGATCTGACGGCCTCGAGGAGGCGGAGTGCTCCAGTAGCGACAACATCGGCCGTGTAGTCCGGGATCTCGAAGGAGACGGCGACGTGCGACTGAGCGGCCAGGTTGTAGACCTCATCAGGCTTGATGACGTCGATCCACCGGCGGAGCGAGGAGGCGTCGGTGAGATCGGCATAGTGGAGCTTCATGCGAGCCTTGTGCACGTTGTGAGGATCGACGTAGATGTGATTGATCCGCTGCGTGTTGAAGTTGGACGACCGACGAATCAGGCCGTGAACGTCGTAGCCTTTGCCGAGCAGGAACTCCGTCAGGTACGATCCATCCTGACCGGTGATTCCGGTTATCAGAGCTATCTTCCTCGGCGTTTCCGCCGCGGCAGAATCTCCGTTCGGAGTGGTGGCGGAGTCGGATCTGGATCCATCGTGCCCGGACGCCATTGATAGTGATGGGATCTAGATCGCTGAGACGGATCGTGTCGGTGTCGAAATTGGGGGAGCGAGAGAGAGTGTCGGTGATCTGGGGCCAATTTACGGAAAAGGAAGGCGACGCGCTTTCTGGTTAGATTTTCATCTCCGGCGAGTTTTATATAGGCATGGACGCGGAGGTGAGGTGAGAGAGCTCAGAGGTGGAGGGCTAGTTTAGTCATTTTCGAATTTCGAGGACGAGGGGAACGCGAATGCCCGTTTCACAGAACGCCGATAGCGATTAGCGGTTTTAATCCATTTGGGCCATTATATAACTGTATAAGCCCTAATAATTTCCTTCTTTTGGGCTTCGAATTAAGGCCCAAGTATTTTGCTGATCAAATAAAATGGTCAATAATTAACCTCCTCCACGTGGCTGTTCAATGCGAATATATTATATTATATAGTACATTATCTTTAAACAGTTCTATCATTATATAGCGTATGAATTCTCAATATAATAAAAGCAGATACGGCTTCCATCTTGGACAATTGGCCAGTTGATGTGGATCTTGTCATTTGTCTTTGGAAATTCCAGGTAATGCCAGAGAGTCAATAATAATTAATAATACGAAATGTATACATCGTTTTGGCAATTGACTCGAAGTCTCTGCGAATGCGACAGGGAGTTGAATTGTTCGGTTTCACACACCTCGACTCGACTCGACTGGTAATAGAATCTCCTCCTCCGCCCTTTCTCGGGGGTCATACCATATGAATAGAATACTACCGCGGGAAACTTCCTTTCTCACTCGGCTCTGCTTTTGACCACCTCAACCTTCTCCTCCTTCCTCCCTTCTTCTCCTCTGCCCTTCCCTTTTAATCTTCGGCTCCCCCATCCCATTCAATGTTCCACTATCTTGACTGTCTTCTAGGGTTTTGGTCCCTCCGTTGAACCATGGGTGTTTGTTTCTCTGCCATTAGAGTCAGCGGAAGCAGCAGCAGAGGCAGGCG